ACTGCTCCTACTCCGAGATCTCTCCCTCAATTTACTTCTAATCTTCACGCAGTCAACTTTCTTCTTTTTCTTAATGGTTAATTCATCTTCTTTATATTTTCTCTAAACACACTCATACAGTATTTACTATGAGTTAGGTACATGTAGCTACTGTACCCTATGAGGTAGGTACTATAATTATCCCTAGTTTTCAGATAAGGAAACTGCATGCCTACATCGTCAAGCTAGCATAGAGTAGAGGGACAATTCAAGTCCAGGTAGTCTAGTTCAGAGGCCAATCATGCTATCCAGCAGCCATGCATCTGGTTAGAGACGCTGTCTTCTGAGTATAGCATGTGAACCTTATCTAGGGGTACATAAAATGAACAGATTGCAAGAAGAAAAAGTTAGAACTAAACCAAACCTATATTTCTTATGATGTTCATTCAGCCTGATCCCTAATGTCCACAGGTTTTAAAGAATGAAGGCTTGACCAGAGAAATTAAAAACACAAAGCAAAGAAAAAGTAACATGTGCCTGCTCATACAGTTCTGTATTTTACTTTATTTGTCCTCTGGCTTTATTTATTTATTTATTTATTTATTTATTTATTTATTTTGGCCCCGAAGCTTGCGGGATCATAGTTCTCCCAACAGAGATTAAACCCATGCCCTCTGAAGTGCAAGCACAGAGTCCTAACCACTGGCACACCAGAGAATGCCCCCTCTGATTACCCTTTTAAAAACTATTAACTCCTTCTATCCCAGGAGGGTTTCAAAGATTAATTTAATCATGTCTTCCCTCAGGAAAAGTATGGACCAGAGTTTAAAGAGAGGTCAATTTTGTCCTAAACTGGGATCCTGCAGCAGTCAGAAAATTCTTGCCATTGCACTAAGAGAACAATAGATAGCAGGCAGAAGAATAGTATTAAGCAACTTTTTAGCGTCTCATGAATCAAATACTCACAGTCACTGTCATTACAGTAAATACTTTTAAATGTGTCATTTTGAAAAAGATAGCAACATTTCCTCCATTTGAAACAGAATTAGAAATATCAAGTTATGTTCAAAGTTAGCCCCAAAACAATGAATTCATTTTGATTCAGCTTATTCCCCCCCCAACTGGGTTTTGACCCATTACTATAACTAGTAATTACTGTTGTTGTTCAGTTGCTAAGTCATGTCCGACTCTTTGAGCTCCCATGGACTGCAGCATGCCAGGCTTCCCTGTCCTTCATAGTCACCCAGAGTTTACTCAAAGGCGTGTCCATTGAGTTGGTGGTGACATCTAACCATCCCATCCCTCTACCACCCCTTTCTCCATTTGCCTTAAATTTTTCTCAGCATTAGGGTCTTTTCCAATGAGATGGCTCTTCCCATCAGGTGGCCAAAGTACTGGAGCTTCAGCAGCAGTCCTTCCAATCAATATTCAAGGTTGATAGCCTTTAGGACTGACTGGCTTGATCTCCTTGCTGTTCAAGAGACTCTCAAGCGTCTTCTCCAGCACCACAGTTTGAAAGTATCAGTTCTTTCACTCAGCCTTCTTTACAGTCCAACTCTCACGTCTGTTCATGATTACTAGAAAAACCACAGCTTTGACTATATAGACCTTTGTCGTATAGTCATGACTACAGATGTCTCTGTTATCTCTGTATACACTGTCTAGGTTTGTCATAGCTTTCCTTCCAAGGCAATCATCTTTTAATCACATGGCTGCAGTCACCATCCACAGTGATTCTGGAGCCCAAGAAAATAAAGTTTGTCACTGTTTCCATTGTTTTCCCATCTATTTGACATGAAGTGATGGGACCGCATGCCATGATCTGAGTTTTCTGAAAGCTGAGTTTTAACTGAGTTTTTTCACTCTCCTCTTTCACCTTTATCAAGAGGCTCTTTAGTTCTTCCTCACTTTCTGCCATTAGAGTGGTATCACCTGCATATCTGAGGCTGTTGATATTTCTCCTGCAATCTTGATTTCAGGCTATGATTCATCCAGCCTGGCTTTTCACATGATGTATGTAAGTTAAATAAACAGTGACAATATATAGCCTTGACACAGTCCTTTCCCAATTTTGAACTGATCTGTTTCTAACTGTTGCTTCTTGACCTGCATACAGGTTTCTCAGGAGACAGGTAAGGTGGTCTGATATTCCAGTCTTTAAGAGATCAGAGTCTGTTCTGATCCACACAGTCAAAGGCTTTCTTACAGTCTTGAAGTTAGGGATGTCCTCGGCATAGAGCAGCTCGTTGGAGGGCAAGTCCTTGCCCAACTTGTGTTCAATATGGAGCAAAAGTTCATGAAGGTCTGGGCCACCATCACCAGGCAGTGGCTACCACCATCACAATGGCTATCTGTGAACCTGGTCTTGCAGATGTCAAACACGAAGTGTGTGTTCTTGATCACACTCATTCAGAAGCACAGGGGCAGCTGCAGGCAGCTGGGCACACAGTCAGCCAGGCATTGGCAGCCCTTGGGACACCGGGAAAGGGGCTGGCCTGTGGCCAACCCATCCTCCCTGATCTGGCCTACATGGTGACCGTGGATTTCCATGCAGCCAGGAAGACAGGTCCAGAGTCAGGCAGTGAGTGAGGGTTGCTACTGCTGCACCCTCTCCCCACAGTCCCAGGATGAGGTGTGCATACCCAGAGGTGCTCTCACGTGGGGTCACCCATGGGCATGGCCATGGTCCTCTAAGCCTGAGCACTTGCTCAGGACTGGGTTGGCTACGGGAGACGCAGCCCTGCAGATAGCTAGTCTCTGACCCCAAACACCACCTGTACGACAGCCATCAGCTGGGTTACCATCAGCCTCTAGCCACATGTCACTGTTTAAATCAAATAAAGATAAAATTCAGGTTCTTGGCTGTACCAATTATGTGAAGTACTCCTAGTAGCATGTGGCCATGTGGACAGCACACACCTAGAACCTTCCACCATTCCAGAGAGGTCCCTGGACTGTGGCCCACCAGGCTCCTCTGTCAATGGGATTTTCCAGACAAGAAAACTAGTATGGGGTGCCATTTCTTCTCTAAGGGATCTTCTAGACCCAGGGATGGAACCCAGGTCTCCTGCACTGCAGGTGGATTCATTACTGACTCAGCCACCAGGGAAGCGCATAACCTGTGATTACACTCATGTTACTGCTCCTCATGTTTCAACTATATTATCCAACGGGCACTAATTGGAATCCTTATGGCCTTTTGTGCCTGGTTTCTTTCATCTAATATAATACTTTCAAAGTTCATCCACATTGTAGCATGTACCAGTATTTCATTCTTTTATGTGGTTGGATAATATTCCCAAGTACGGATATAACTCATTTAATTTATCCATTAATCATCTGATAGACAATCTGGGTCATTTCTACTTTCAGATTACTGTGAATAATGCTTACATTTGTGTGCAAGTTTAGTTTGGACATGTTTTCAATTTTCTTGGGTGAAACTGCTGGGTCTTATTGTTATTCTTTATTTAACTTTGAAGAACAGCAAATCTTTTCAAGGTAACTGAACCATTTTACATTCCCACTAGCAACATATGAAGACTCTTAACTTCTCCTATCTTCATCAAGACTTCTTCTTCTTCTTTTTTGACTACAGAGCTTCCCTGGTGGCGCAGTGGTAAAGAATTTGCCTGCAATGCAGGAGACCTGGGTTCGATCCCTGGCTCAGGAAGATTCCCTAGAGAAGGAAATGGCAACCCACTCCAGGATTCTTGCCTGGGAAATTCCATGGACACAGGTGCCTGGCAGCTACAGTCCATGGGTTCACAAAGAATCAGACTTTTTTATTACAGCCATTTTAGAGGGTGTGAAGTGATATGTCATGATTTTATTTGCATTTTCCCTGATGACTAATGATGTCATCAGAGTATATTTTTATGATATTCACGTCTAAGTGTCACAGAAGCAACTGTCCATCATAGGGCAAAAAGGAACATGACTGATTTAGGAATACAGTTATATGAGGTCCAGTGGTTAAGACTGTGCTGAGGGTAGGGAATGAAGAACCCCACAAGTCATTCAGCCAAAATTAAAAAAGAAAGAAAAAGATTTACAACATGCTATATCCAATGATCATCATCTACTTTTCCTGGTTATTTACTATTCTGAAAAGCTATAAAGTATGATTAGCTATAGCAGAAGCTTCTTTACTTGGAAATCGAAATAATGAAAGAATTTAAGCAACAGAATTATTGTAAAGAGAACCACCCAAGCCCCTGCTATTTAGAAAATCACTTAGATTATCATAAATACAGAATGCTTTAGTATAAACTGTGTAGAAAAAGCTATGCTGTAACTTGGCAGGTTGTGATATTAAGCTGTCCAATCCTTAAGATACAACCAGGATGGAATAAATCAAGATCTACAATTACAGGGACATCACAGCTACCTCACTGGTAACCTATCAGTTATGATGTGTTACATGCACTCTATTATATAACAACTTTTCTAAAGTTTTGATGTGTGTAATATTTATTACATGTCAAAATTTTTTCTTCACTGTGTTTAAAGTTGATAGCTGAGTATTAGAAATTGAAGCAGGTCAAGTACAATATACAGGGTACTTTATGTAAACAATCTACTATAATTCAGAACTATTAAGTTAAAAGAGCACTAAAAAGCTGATCCCCATATCTTACTTCCAAGTTCCTCTGAAAACCTGTTATTGGGTTAATTAATTAGAATCTTTTATCACAAAGACATTTATTCATAAAGTCCCTAAAACTTTAAACAGAAGCATAAAACACTTGAAAAGTATCTGAGTGTTCCCCGATTTTTATTTAACTCTAATAAGAGAAAATCCTAACAATTATTCTGCAGAGTAGTACGTGTTAATCTTTCACTGACAAAGAGGGTCCTCTTTCTAACTGCTCAAATATGATTAAATCAAAATAAAAGATTTCATTTTTTTGATAGGTATCCCAACTTTTCTAAATATAAGGGTTAGTAATAATTTTAGTGAATTTCAAACACGACAAAATTGTATTTAACTACTGAGTAATTTTGAAAATATTTTTTACCTGTATCCATACTTTGGTTCAACTGTTGATCACTTGTTTCTCCATCTTCACTGATATATCCAGGAGGTGGCGTTTCTACAAAAGTTTAGAACAAATCAAGTACAGCTTCAATTTAATCTCAATGCCTTTTCTCCCAGCTACCAAAGATAACCAACAAATCACTCCAAATAACATATGAATGTTACATAACATCACTATAAAAAGCAGTATTGGATACTGAGGGCTTATGATTCAGGTTCCGATCCAAACCTTATAGGTGAATCCTTAAAACCCACTTGTAATACAATTGAGCTCTCTGTGCATATTTTCTTAGCTATTTTTACATATCTGGCTTGTTCTCATTTGTATATTTTCTGGGGCAAGGGCCAAAAATATAACTTCAAAGATGCCTCAGTTCTTTATCAGTATGTTTAAAAAGAAATTAGTAACCAAAAGAAATTTTTTTAACCAATGGCCATCATAAACGGGTACTTAGACACACAACATAGGCACACAAGATTTAGAATTACAAAGTAATACAGGCTGACAAACTACACTAGCTTCTATAGGGCAAAATATGGTAATATAGTTCAGGAATGGTCTAGCCTGAATTCTATCTAAAAAGTGGATTGCTTGAGTGATTTCTAAACAGTTAAGTCCTGAATGCTTGAGGTAGAAAATTAAATTCAAATGAGACTGCTACACAAAACCGAGGTCAATTACTTTCTGAAAATACATAAGATTCTAATGTGTCATTTCCAAAATGGTTTATGAACAAAATGTTTATATTCAGACAGTACTTGAATATCTAAGCTTCATGTGAAATAAAAAATTTATACAATTTTACCAATCATAATTCCAAGCAGGAAAAAGAAGTTTAGGTGATGCAGGTTAAAGGTCTCCTCCATGAACTCTTGTTGACAATCTCTCTTCAATAAGTTAATTTTAAGTTTTAACTTAAGTATCAAACTTTTCATTTTAAATGCCAGTGCCCCCAAATTTTTAATATGAGAAGAAAATAAATTCCTTCATAGTAATATGTGAACAACAAAGAATATAAAAATAAGAATATATACAGTTATGTGCTATTTTAAGTTAAATCAAATAAAATTAAAAAGAGCTAAGCTTTGCCAGTTTAACCACCCATGTCTCAAAGGTGTAAATAGGAAAAAATACTAAACTGATAAATATGCTATTCTTTTTCATTTTTCTCCATTATCATTTATATATAAAATAGTAAACAACAAAGGTATAATACTAGTGTCTTGGAGGAAATGTTACAATTTCTTTCACAGTGGAATAAAAAGTGAACACCAAGGTTTTGCTGTCAGTTGGAGCTGGGTAAAGACCCACTGTCCAGAAAAGCAGGTTAAGTATAATCCACATGTGATTTTCCACTTTGTAAAAGACCCAAATCTAAACAAAGATGATGGAAAATCAGCCCAAATATATCCACAGGTAAAAGTGAAACATTTTGACTAACATCCTTCTACATAATCACTGGGTAGGTATCTTACAAGAGCGAATGCTTACACCTCAGTTTCCTAAGGATTGCTGAATTATACTGATTTCCACTTCAGACTTAAGGACTCCCTCAATCCAACACACTACTCACATGTAACTACTTCCAGTCAAATTCCTCTCCCTACAAAATGCCTAGTGTTCACCCTGCTTCCCCTTGTCCTAGCCCCCATTTTCCACAATAAACTCTTTGCCCTGTACTAACTCCTCAAAATGTTTATGTTTCCCAATAAAAGCAGCTTTTATTCTTTAAATCTCCTTTTGGAATAAATAGTAGTAAAAGAAAAAAGCATTAAGATAGTCAGAAAACACTTTTTAACCTTAAAAATAGCTGTTTTTAAAAAGTCTTCTTTTACCTTATGTTTTCAAAATTACCTCCAAAGAACAAGCATTATTTCCATGATGAGACACATTAAGGTAATTTTTTTTTTTTACTATAGCTGAAACTGAAAGTTCCTTTCACATTTTCAGTGGTATAAATAAAACATAAAAGTGGAATAGATAAATACTGCACACGGAGAAAAAAATTAAAACACCAAAAAATCCAACATACAGCTATATGCTCATGCTTATCCCTTTAGTTTGTACTGGACACATAATGTAATAGAGCAGAATTTGAGAATTATGTGGTTCATTTATTTTTCAGCATTACTGAGTCCCAGATGAAAAAGAACTAAAATAGAAGTTTCCTGATTTTTCAGTACAACATACATGTTGCTATGTCTGTAGAATTAAAGTTTTTAAAAAGCCAAACCATAACTTACTTATTTATTAATAGATGAGTGTTTATGAACAAAATCTGTATCTATCTCACAGTTTAGGAGACTCAGAAGGCAAAAATACCTGGGATATAATTACTCTGCGGCTCGATTCCTGCTGGGAAGTTAGTGTTTTCCGGAATGGAGTGGGTGTAGTCGTCCAGAGGGGGCAGCTCTGTTAAGATCTCCGTGTGCCGGGGCACCAACACCGGCGGCAAAACTGAAAGAGGGGAAGAAACCCAGTTAACGCCAGAGCAGATGAGAGCGGCCCTTTTATCAAAAGTCTTCACACACAGAAAAGAATTAGCCCGATTAATTTCTGAAGTTTAGGATTGACTTATTTGGTATTATTCGGCTATTGAAAAACTGACAAACCTGACTATGATTTTAATTTACCACGAAGTCCACAATCTAAATCTCCAAGTTCTGATTTATCTTGTACTTTTGGGGAAAGAGTGATCCTGATCATATTATATGACCATCAGTCAGTCAGTCAGTTCAGTCTCTCAGTCCTGTCCGACTCTTTGCGACCCCATGAATCGCAGCATGCCAGGCCTCCCTGTCTATCACCAGCTCCCAGAGTTTACTCAAACTCATGCCCATCGAGTCGGTGATGCCATCCAGCCATCTCATCCTGTTGTCCCCTTCTCCTCCTGCCCCCAATCCCTCCCACATCAGGGTCTTTTCCAATGAGTCAACTCTTCGCATGAGGTGGCCAAAGTATTGGAGTTCAAAGTATTGGTTCAGCTTCAGCATCAGTCCTTCCAATGAATACCCAGGACTGATCTCCTTTAGGATGGACTGGTTGGATCTCCTTGCAGTCCAAGGGACTCCCCAGAAGTTCATAAATCCTCATTGGAAAGGTTGCAGTAAGATTTGTAAACTCAAGCTTTTTTCCCCTAAACATACATTCTTTTAAGTTTCAAGTACTAAGTAAATTGAGTAAGTAAACTGACTGAAAGTCCCGCTGTGAGTTTTACTAAACTGCTTAGTTACAAATGATATCATTAAAGTACATCAAAAAAACCAAAGAGTGAAATGACTTAAAACAGTTAATGCAGCAGAGAGGTAATGAGACTTATTCAGTTCTAAGCAGATTGTGTATCTATAGGATTAGAATTTCCTAGATAATGTACTTTGATGTGAAATGTTATTTCAAGAAACTAACATATCTTTCCCTCTAAGCTATATTTTTCCATAACATATATCAACATTTTTTTAGTATTTTTAATTATCGCCAAAAAATTTACTGAATTCAAGGCAACTTATTAGAGCTTTAGGCTCCCCTGGTGGCTCAGATGGTAAAGGATCTGCCTGCAATGCGGGGGACCTGGGTTTGATCCCTGGGTCAGGAAGAAAAGGGCATGGCAACTCACTCCAGTATTTTTGCCTGGAGAATTCCACCGACAGAGGAGCTTGGTGGGCTACAGTCCATGGGGAAGCAAAGAGTCAGACACAACTGAGCAACTAACACTTTCACTTTCCACTATTAAAGAGTTTCATGCCAAAGTTTCCCTGGGTCAATTAGGTGTAAGTACCTAATACACTTAAATTCAAGCATTTAACCAAAACAAGGGGAAAAAAAAACAATTTTCCTACCTGGTGTCTCAACTCTCTGGTAGTGGTAAGGGTTTACACATACTTCATCCTTTTTAAGATTAAAAGCATATTCGCAGTTTTCAATTGCTTTGAGTTCATGATGACTGTGAAGATCAGGCCAGCGCCATAATCGGCAATATATTACATGAGGCAGTCCTTTTCGATGGGACACCTGAAGACGACCATCTAGAGACCTGTTGGGAAGCAAGAGGAAAAGAAAGATGGGAACTTTTAAAAAAAAAATAAACATACTCAATTGGGCTAAACTAGTACATTAAGAGCATAAAGAAAGGAATGACAGACACTTAGTTAGTTTTAGTAAATACAAGGAAGAAAAATGTACTATCTAATGGATCTGATATAAAGGTAAGCAGCAGCACTAGGGTATTTTTCTTATAAACATGCTACATAAATGACTCAAATGTCAATCAATGAACAGGTAGCCGTTTGGGGAAAAAATGTGTTTTTTTTTTTTTAAAGTCTCATACAGCTACACGTGAAAAATGTTATCAACATTTTATCTTTAGTGACTCAAACTCTTAGGGAGGATTAGGGCATTATTTCTGCAGGTGCCGGAATCATCAAAAAAGGAACTAGTGTGAAGAATGGCAAATACCAACAATGATGTAAAAGTAACTTACTAAAACTAACATAACTCATTACCCGGTTGTGACTGTTTTGAGTACTGAGGTATATTTTCTATAGCTCACACATAAATGCAGATGGTGATGAAAATGATGCGATGAAATGGACAAATACCAATATGCTCAAAAAGAGAATAAGGTGATTAAAAAAAAATAAATAACCAAAACGAGTCAGCCTAGCATTATATGTGACATAAGGGGTTCAGTAAATAACCATGTACTTTATTAGTATAAAGATGAGATTTAGATGACAGCAAGAAATTTAGCAAAAACTGGTTATGTATCTACTGAAAAATTAGGCCAACAACAGATTATAATCTACCCTCACACTAAAATGAGAATATAGTTATCGAAGCTCCTATTCTTTAGGGGATGCAGTAATTTAAAGATTCAAAACTAGAATTTCATTGATCAACACGTCAGCGGAAACATTTAATATATTTTTAATACTGGCAAGCAGTTATTTTAAATGCCATGCCTTATTTTACATTAAGGAAACATCCTAGGCAAAATTATACTAAGCAACCCACTTTAGGTCTTCCAAAACACCCTCCCTCCCACAAGATCTCTAGGATTCCATAGAGGGCAGCATATTCACCTGGTTTGTTCAGAGAAGCTGTAAAGGCCTGTTGTATCCCACTGATCTATCGTATTTGGTGTACTCAGTCCCCAAATTTCAGAGCAAGTGCTGTGCATAAATTGAAAAACAAAAAGTTGACGTGAACATGGAAGCATGGTTATTCAAATTACCATGATGCAAAACATGGAGAATGTGCAGAACACTTCCTTCACCCAGAAAATATACGCCACTTCACTTTTTCAAGGGCATTTAGTGCTGATTTCTATATTTTCTATATGAAGGAAGCCAATAAAATGGAACATGTGACTCCAGATAAGTTATGATTATGTTTTTAAAATGTGAACACCAATGCTCTCTAGCTTAATGAAATCATAACTGTGCCTTTTCCAATTTCCTCTACTCACAACAAAGGATCCTATGCCATTAAGTCTTACTAACAGTGCTTCATTTTATAATCCAGTTTAAAAAAAAAAATCTAAAAATGGATATCAACTGGTATTTTTAACATAGATAAAATTTCAATTAAAACAGACATATATCGTTAAAATTTCCAGGTTATTTGTTTAAGATACATACATATTCAGTTTTACTGAAAATTATTATTGCTCTTATTACTACAAAGGACAAGGAAATGGATTTTGAAGTCATCCTAGCATAGCACACTACCTGAAAATTTTTAAGAAACTGCTACAAGGATTAAAGATATGTGAAAGCATTTGTAAAAGATACTATGACTATGACAAAATTGCTGTATCAAAGTTGCTGTATCTAGTTTTTCTTCATCAATTCACCTGAAAGACATACACCAGAAAGATTTTTTGAAAAATCTGATTTGAAATTTCAAAAATCATAATTTTTCTTCCACATTTCTTTCCAGAACAAGGACAGCCCAGATACAAATCCGCCTATTTTCCCTGCCACCACTTCATTTGTATGAGAATTCTGAGAAGAGGAGAAAAGAAGAGCTTAATAAACAGTCTGGAATCGAACTACTCTCTGCCAAAGGGGTCTTGCCAAAGATAGCAGGTCATACTTTTTTAAAAATGAGGGTCAAAAGACAATTTCTGAAACTCCATTCCAACTTCTTACATGTTATGAAATCATCAAAACTTAAAGGAAGAGAAAGAAACATCTCAAAACAACTTTTGAGCATCCTTTGCTAACGGGCTCACTCACTCAGCATTTCAAAGGGCGCTGGTGAAAAGCGCTGCCTTCCTGAGGCTGGGCAACTCGTCCAGTCCAGTGGGGCTACTCAGGGCCTCCTGCAGGGTCACTGAGCTGCATTGGAGGCTAGCGTAAGTGTAATGCAGGGTGGCTTTGCAAAATGCATTTTCAGACACTTTGGAGCACTTTGTTGAGACATTTTACTGATTCTCTTGGGGTTTTTTAGGCTTCAGAAGTCTAACTTCCACTTCTCAGACTACAAAAGTCAGAAAAGGCCAAACCGGAGGCTAATTCAGACCTTTTCTTTTCTCCCAAAGGTGTACTGACTAAAAAACCATGACGTGAATGGTTCTTTTATTTAAGATATTTATCAACTATCTACTGGAAACATAACAATAAAACCAACCCAATTCTAGAGTTTCATGAATCTGAATTCAAACCTCTGAAGGAACAGTATACATCTTCCTCTTCTCTTTAAAAACAGCCAAAAGAAAATGACCGAGAAGAGTACATAATGTGGATATGTACATAATGTGGATATAGCCTCTTATGAGGCTAAAATAAATATTTCATTCAAGAAACTCTGGAACTGACATGAGAAGCAGAAATGTAACAGGGCATGAAGAGCTTAAGTTGTGTTTTATTCAAGCCCTGAAATATATGAGAGAACAATAAACAGTAGCTGTTAAAAGCATGCAGTCAATCTAGAGGCAGACAGAACTGCCTCCCAACTCTTAACTCAGCTACTTTTCCACTGCCATCAGAGTATTTAAGCCTCAGTTCTACTGACCATTGCAATCTCTCTCATGCAAATTGGAAGGTTTATTTAAAAATAATAAATTTGCTTCTATCAAGTAAAAATTTTCGTCATTTATATATGAAAATTTTCTTAAAGAATCAATCTATATCAAAATATACAAAATACCTAGGATAAATGTAATTATAAATGTGTCAAAACTACAAAAATAAATGTTTTAATTATTAAGGAACACAAAAATCAACCAAAGAGAAAAACATACATCTTCCTAAATAGGAAGCTAACATCATAGCAATATCAGTTCTGCCAAATTTACATATTTGATGGACTCTCAACAAAAATAAAAAAGATTTTTAAGACTCAAACAAAATTACTCAACATATATCAAAAAAAATTACAAGAATGACCAAGAAAACTTCCACGAAGAAGCAACTGGCTCTACTAGACCCTGAAACACATTATAATCTTCAATAGTGGCAACTGTATGAAATTAATAAAGGAATACAAAACAGAATAGAGGTCCTGCCAGTAGGGCAGCCTCAATCGGGCAAACCTTCCTTTGGATAAAAATGATAGCCTTTAAACAAAATATAATAAAATTAACTATTTGAAAACAAAATAAAATCAACTATTTGGTAACAGTGGAGAGACACAAAGCAGACAGAAACTGAAGGAAAGCCAACCTCTATGGGGGGTGCAGCACCAGGTGAGATGCATTTGCGCGGTCTGTAAGGCAACCCTCAGTGGAAGCTACCCAGGGGGAAGCTACTCAGTGGAAGCTACCCAGCTACCCAGCTTAAGCAAAAAACGGCAGTTTTAACAACCTGCAGAATCAGAGGGTGGATGTGGGGTTATCGGAAAGGCTGGACAAAGAAGAGGGAAATCCCATAATGAAGGAAAGAAGCCACAAAGGGGAAGGAAAAAAAGAAACCCCCTTCGGACCGGGGTTTTGATTCTTGGCCGGTCCCCAACTTTTCCTTTTGGGGGGGGTTTTGCGGGCTTTTTCAAACCCGGCCTTTGCAGGTTGAAAGAACGAAGCTCGGATTTCAGCTACTCCTTTGCTCAGAAGCAGTTTGCACTTTCAGGTGACCCAAAACTATTTGTAAGAACAAAAATCAATACTCTTCAGAGAAAGATAAGAGAATTTAGTCTCTATGATATTTTGTCCCAAATATCCAATACAAAAATCACAAAATACTAAACATGAGAAGAGATAAGAAACTGTTACCCCCTGGTTAAAAGAATAAACAGCCGTTAGAAACAGACCATTAAAATGAATTAACAGACAAAAATCTTGAAGTAACTACTATGAGCATGTTCATGGACTTAATGAACCAATAGGAATCTCAGGGAAACTGTAAAAACAAATGAAAACTCTGTAACTGAAAACTACAAAATCAGAAATTAAAAATTAACCTGATGGTGGGAGAAGACATAAGAGTCAGTGAATTTAAAGATGGATCAATAGACGTTATCTAATTAGAACTGAAATAAAAGACTGAATAACAAAATAAAAGTTTCAGTAGCCCATGCAGTCCCCAAAAGAGGGCAATTAAGAACAGACAAAAATATTTGCAATAATAATAGCTGAAACTCTTCAACTTCAGTGAAAAACTAAACTTATACTTCCCAGAAACTCAGTGAATAATAAGCAGTTTAAAAATAACACCCATGAAACAACCAAAAACACACTAGGGCATATCACTGTCAAACTGCTAAAAACAAACGTTGAAAAGAAAATCTTTAAGCTGGTGAGAAGTATGAAAACTCTTTCCACAAAGGAATCCATCCAAACCTTTGCAGTAGAAGACTTGACCAAACTCTAACATGGCTTCTAGAAGCCTAAGGCCTCGTCTGTGGTGTGACACAGACCCTCTGGAGTTCTGTCTGGAAATGCTCAAGACTGCCAAAAGAATTTACCATTTGTCCCAGCCAATACTGATACACAGGCTTCTGGCCTCCTTTTCCTGAGCAGCATCTATTTTAAAAAGCTTACAATTGTAAATCCTTCCTGTCTCTTTGAAATGTATATATGACTCTACAACTCAGGAGGGGAGGACCTGAAAACCATTCCTTTGAAATGTAACTGATCATCAGGAAAAAAGGGCCTCTGTCTGCCTCCCAGTTTGCCCTCTAAGCAAAGGCAGAAGCCTAACTTCTGATAAATGCCTTTCGGCAAACACAGATGGCCTAAATCAGTGACGCTAACCAAACCTCTCGCCCACGTGCTGTATATAATTTTTCACTTCCCAGACTCTGTTGCAGACCCCACTCTTGACTCCCGTGCTACTCATTATTCCAGTCACTTCTGTGCAAACTAGAATTGGGCTCACATCTTACCACCATGATGGCAATAGTTACTGAATAAAATTTGCTCTTTATCACCTTTAACCAATGACACGCAGCTTTGACAGCGACCAAACCACAACAATTCATACGTGGAGAGGCATAACAACAATTTCTCATTAGAAACAACGGAAGCCTGCAGGTAATGGAATAGCAGCTTTAAAGAGACCAAGGGGAAGAAAAAACCCCTCAACCTAAAACCATAATCAAGAAAATTCAGGATAAAGAGAAATAACAGATATAAGTTAGATCACGGGGGAAATTTTTAAAAAACTAGAAAGTATAGGTATGTAAGCAAATATAAAAAGATAGTATTCATTTCAGCTCTTCACTTCTACAGAAAGATGATGACCAACTACAAAAAAAACCCCTATAGCTAAAAGTATTCAAGTGTAATTTAAATGACAACGGCAGCAGAAAAAACAGCAGGCGTTTTAGAATCACTACACTATTGCAAAGCTAAAAACACAGACTGTCACTGGGAAAGCAATCCCCTCCTCAAACAGCCAAGAGATATAACTAAAGAGTATAAAGAAAACTATTAATAAAATGAAATACTAAAAAATAAGTCCAAAGGAAAGAAAGAACAAATAACAGATGATAACTGAAAACAAAATGTAAAGAGTAAAACAAAGAGTAGGTCCAACCCTATCAGCGTTAACACTATACATAAATACACCATATACTCCAATTAAGAAAGACTTGTCAGAATGAATACAGTATGCAAAATGTCTACCAAAAAGGGTGTACTTTAAATATAATATATAGATGGGCTGAAAATACAAGAGTAGAAATATAGTTCATATAAGCAGTGAGTTTAATAAAGCATAGTACCAGAAAT